CGCCTTAAACGATGCTTAAATGCTGGCTTATCGGGCTAGGGAAGACCACTTTTAAAGCACCTAACCAGCTAGACAATTTAAAGTTTCCGAGTTGCCAGCCAATTAGATGGGAAAGCAGCGACGTGCGTTGGTCTTAGCTTGAGAAAATGGCACAGCTACTTGACTCGTTGTTGCTGTTGCACGTTGTAGTTGTTGCAGGTTGTTGTTGCTGTAACCACTGAGCCTCTCACTAATTATGCAAAAATTAGTTGCATCTCGGGCACAACAAAAAAGAAAAAAAAAAAAACCTAACTGGAACGCGGCCTGCCAGCGACGACATATAAACACAAGCAAGCAGAAATATCAGCGGCATGCCGAATATTAAATACCCTTTTCGGGTATAAATAAACACTAAACGAACGGTAAATGTTTGATTTAGAGAGCTTATATTCAAAAAGATTTTGCCTAAATCAAGGAGTTTATTGGAGATCGTCGGCTTGATGAAGACAGCTTTTAACACCTATAATATCCCAATATTTTTTCATTTTCATTTTCAAAGATCTTTTAACGAATTCATGTGTGGGATCTATATGAAATATCATTTGAAAAGTGTCTTACATTTTTTCGCAAAATCAAAGCTACCTCGGAGGAAAGAGCGATTCAACATTTTTTTTTGTGAAGCTTTAAGTTTTGTTCTTTTTGCTTCAAACTTATTTTCAAAGCTCTACATAAAAACTTAATGAATACATGGTTCAGCGATTTGGAAAATTTCACCCGCAATAGTGGTAAATTGGCGGAATTTATTTTATACGTGCGACGAGCAAGGTCGGGTTATATACGCTTGCATAAATATATGTATTTTTATTGTATCAAAGACAATCAAAATAAATAAAATTTATATTTATATAGTATATGATTATATCGATTCTGTCGCAATAAAAAGTTGGATTTACTTGACGTTAAAAATGCTGTGACAAAAATTATGGTACCTTCTGCAAGGGTATGAAAAGCTGACAACTCTGCGCCTTCCTTCAGTTCTGGGCTTTACATTTTTTCGCACGTAGCTGAAAACCGCGTACCCGCGGGTGTGTGTGTGCCTCTCACTCTCTCTCTCTGTGTGTGTGTGCTAATTTAGGCGGCTTTTGTTGTCTCCCGCCTGAATGACATACACAGAGTTAGGCACAGAGCGTGGGAGCGCACAAAAAATTGCCGCCTGTCGTTTGTTGTTGCTGTCGTGGTATGGCAGCTCAAAATAATAAAAAAAGAAAAAAAACTGAGAAGATCCAAAAAAATAATAAACAACAATGCGACTTTGTCTGTGAGTGGGCCACGCGGTTGCAGCTGCAGCTGCAACAGTTACAGCAACAGAATTCTAAATAGCACAGCCAAGCAATGCGGCTGCTTTCCATTGGCATGCCCCAGCCCCCGGCCGGCACAGCTGCATTGCCCATAGCCCCCGGGTATTTGTGGTGCCGTTCAAGCATAACTTTCATATTCATTCATGCGTTCTTACATTGATAGCCAAGTCTCTGCCTGGCCTAAAAGACTAGACAAGACCACAAAACAAAATTGTCCAATCACATGGCTGATAAGCTTGAGCGGTGCGTATACATAATTTTTCGATATGTTCGCATTTTTGTGGTCAATCAAACATTTAATATTTAAATTAATAATTTTACATTTTGGAATAAGCCCAGTTCCTAAATTAAAAAATAATAATAAAATAATGGGCAAATATTTTCTTACTTTTACAATAAATTAGTTTTTTTTAGAACAATTTAAAGTTTTTGTTTTTTTGGGACATTTTTCTAAGATGTAGGGTCAACAGTTTTTTGGACTTAGAATCATAATAATTGGAATAAGAATCATAATAATTGACATTAAAAAAAAGTATCTTTCTCTATATTTTAAATGAATTAAGCTGTTTTTAGCTTTATTTCTTCTACTAGTAGTAGATTGAGAACGATTTTAGGTTTCTAAAATTATTTCAGCAAAAATTTAAGCTATATTTATTCAAAAATATTAAAAAGTATTCAAGGAAACTTTTTTTAAATAAACAAAATATTGAAAATCCGAATGAAAATAGGGGAAATGCCATAACCTAAGAATGTAACCTATTATATTAAACGACTTGGCTAAAGCCATGCCTAGTAACTTCTTAAATGTTTGTGCAGGACATGTTATTATACGTCTAGGATCTCATTAACTATAGATATTTCTGATCAGTATCAATAGCTGAGTCGGTAAAACCATGCCAGTCTGTCTATTTCTGCACAAACTAGAGCCTTCGTTACAGGTGATACCTATATCGAAATTACCCCTTATATTATGTAATTGCAATGGGAATGAAATCGGGTTTTGATGAAGACCTATTTTGTTTTCAATATACCTTGACCAAAATTGGCATTCAAAAGTTCTACTATGCAGCTTACATATGAGCTACATCTTTTCAAAATCGGACTTCTGTACAGCTCTCGAGGATGAATAGTATAAGAGGAATAGGTCGAAAAATAGTTTTTGTATGCAACAATGTTCTGATTTTTAAGATATCTCTAAAGATATCTTTAAAGATATTGTCTATATTTATTAGTCTTTCTTATTTTCTTTTTTCACATTAATTTTGATGTCTACAATGAAATTTATCTGAATCTTTTAATGTGCTTTGCTTGAAATCCTTTGCAGCCAAACGCGTTTAGATCATCATTAGCTTCACTTTCAAGTCATTTTTTGTCATATATCTTGTGCGTCCATTAAGTTGCATAATAGCTGGCTGCTCAGATGGTTTGTTGCTTTAGAATTTGGCTGGTGTATCGCCTCGGTTTACAGAAAACGGAGGCAAAAACTGTAGCGTCCGTTTTATTGCTCGCTAATCATCGGTTATATCGGAAGCTTCCATCTTGGCTCCAAATGATTTATGGGCCCCGCATGGATTGGCATTGATTCAATGCAGGCCGGGTGTCGGAGAGGCGGCAGCTGCCCCAAGGACGTTAAGAAGAGTATTTGTGCATGTGTGTGTGTGCGTGTGTGTGTGTGTGTGTGTGTATGTGGGTGGTTGGTTAAATGTTATATATCTTTTATTTGGATTCTTGTCTTGAAAATGTTGCAGATTTTGCAACTGCCACTCGGCTATTTGTCTTGAATTACTTTTCGATTTGCACTTTACACTTTACACACACACACACACAGATAGACACCCAAATGCACTTATTTATTTGGTTTTCAATTTCGGTTTTTGGCTTTTGCTTTTGTATATTGCAGGCGAAATGCTATCGGACAAGCGCCCGAGCTGTCCCAGTCGCCCACTTCGACAGGGTCCACAGTAGACAAATTGCGCGTAAAATAAAACTTCAATTGCAGCAATAACACGAGGAAAAACAACAGCCAGAACAGCAACAACAACAGTTGCTTGCTGCAACAGAAACCAAGCAAAAAGAAGAAATTGAAAAGCGTTTTAAAAACAATGAAAGTGGCAAATTCACAGCCCAACCCCCAGCTAAAAACCCACTCCTCTAAAATCCAGAATAGCTGCGGAAATTCGCAAATATTGCGAATACGTGTTGTTGTACGTGGGCGTGTTTCACTCTGTGTGTGTGTGTCTGTGCGTGTGTGGTGCATTTGAACATGGACAGCAACAAGAACAATAACAACATTTCCAACAACGCCGCGCGTTAATGTGGTACGTGGCGAACCCAAAAGCAATATTCGTTGCATTAAGCGAGCGCAACTCCAGGAAAAGTCAAATTTTCCGCTTTTACCTGTCGTTTGCCGCTACCGCTGCCGCTGGCATAGTCGCGTGCCCTTTAACGGTCAATCGAACCCCCGAGATTCTAAACGTGCGCGATACGACGACAGACGATCCGGGCAAAAGGTATACCAGGTATCGCAGGAGCTAAGCGCTGCGATTGTTTTAGTAGAGCAAACACATAGCAATACAGAAAAAGTAGTCACAAATTGTTCTCGATGTCAGGAGAACACGCCCGACATACGACCCTCTGCTAAGAGTTTCAGGTGTCTCGCTTCTTTATCGCTAGAAAGACAGCAAGGCGATACTTTGAGCAATACAGTACATAATCTGTTTTGATGAGCTTAGCATATGCTAAAGCATTTGTATCTAAATATTTCTTGCTATAACGGCCGGCGGCTTAGTCCTTCCTAGTCTGAGATTCGAACTGGATTTCCTTTGATCAGCTCACCCATTAGGACACACATCCGGAAAGATACTCAGGCGTGTATCGCTCGCTAATGTATCTTCCGCGCGAAACAACTTCCTACTCCCAACTTCTCACATTAGGAAAGCGATAAAATGTTTTATCGTCTTTGTTGTTGGGTATCAATAAGAAGAACTGCAGTCTGATTTTCTGCAATAACAAATGTCAGTTTTAACTTATGTTAAGATCTCTTTCGAGAGCCGATTCAGATATCGCTCGATTAGCAACTTCTGGATGGGCTAGTGTCTAGTCCGGAGATTCCATGTTGACATCAGTGATCCCCCGAATGATCCTTTATGTAAGCATTGGATTTACTCCATCAAGAGTACTGAAGAACTTTAAAAAGTATACATGTCTGCTATTAGAAGTGAAAGGTATTCTTCATCTGTTTGATTCGGAAAGATTGATATACATTCTATTTTTTACCCTTCCACTCTTAAAGGTTCTGCTTAAAGACTTTTGATATATGTATATATATATGAATTGTAGGATAGCTCAGCTATAAAATTTTCTCACAGACTTGCACATCTGCTAAATATGTGGTATGATACGTACATTTATTCTTTTTACATAAATCCCATAAGAAAGTACATTTTCACATTTTTAAAGTTTTTTAAATACTCTTAACTTCAATATCAAAAATCTGTGAACTAACAATCAAGAACTTATCATTCGTGTACCACGAATATACCTATGTATATATGTGTGGAGGTCTATTGACTTTTTGCAATTATGTTTTCAGCTCGGCTCGATGAATTAACTAGAATTTGATTTTTTAATTATCACTTTCTGTATTTTTCGAACTCTTTCCAGTGGGTGTGTGTGCGTGGCAGCTGCTAACCAAAGTGCAATTGGAATCGGCATTGAGAGCGGAACTGCAATCGGTATCGGGAATCAAGAAATACAAGTGCCCAACAGCCCCCGTCCGCCCCCTGGAGGGGCAGCTGCGCTGCAGCTGCAGCGGCGCCAGCGACAACTAGAACGGCACAGACGAGCAGCGTCACAGGCATGACGACGCTGGCAGCGACGTCGACGTCGACAGCGATGCCAGTGGATGGCATTGGCACTGCGAAAATGTTTTCGGATGCGGATGTGGCGGAAGTGCGGCACGTTGTGCAACGCATTTTGGTGCCGTGCGTTTTTGTTATTGGACTATTGGGAAATTCAGTGAGCATTTATGTTTTGACGCGGTAAGTGCACTTGTATGCGATGCTGTTGCTGCTGCCGTTGCCGTTGCTGTTGCCATTGGTGTTGCTGCCACAAACTGTTTTTGCTGTTTTGCTGTTGCATGGATTATGGCCGAGCGGCCAACTTGATTCGAATGGAGCAGAGTGCGGGTGCGGGCGCGGGTGCGGGTGTGTAAGTGTGTCAGTCTCACTGTGTGTGTACGTGGGTGCATTTTATGCATTTTATGTTTATGTTGCGTGTTGCACGGCCAAAAACTGCAAACAGGTACGCAGCACATTACACAGGGCATTTAATTGTTGCCATCTAGCTGGCACTCTAAAATCATTTCATTTCCCAAAATGCCAGCGACAACAACAACGGCAACAACAACAACAATGAGAGCAATGACAACAACAATTATGGCAGCAAAAACAACAATTTCACGTGCCAAATTCTAACGTTTCACAGATAAGGGCTCACTGGCCGCTTTAGTCGAGGTGGGCAGGCCAGGGACTTACCCTTTAATTGTTGAAAATATGCGACAATGCAAGGCGTTGTGTGCACCAAAGCTGAATGCCGTAGAAATGCCATAATATTCTCAGTTTTACAATTACCCAGTAAAATAAGGAAGTTATAATACGCCAATTTCTAGTTTAACTAGCAGGGAATTCTTTAATACAGGTGAAATATTTATACAATACGACCGCTTGTTGCTATATATAGCCAATTGCAGTAAATATATTCACAAATGTAGTTATTGGATCACTAAATGGTCGTGTGTATACCCGAGACAAAAGCTCATTGCTATGTAAGCTTATAGAAAACTAATAGTGTAGACTACTACAGATGTAAGGGCGACTGTAAGCTATATTCCTGCTGCTCATAAGCTTAGTACTCACCTTTGAGATTATAAATATATCCTTTTGAATACTTAATATTTTCATAGCTGAAAGCTAAGTAGAGCAAAATTCGTAAGCGTATTCGCGCAGCTTATAAATGGATTCCTTTGCAACACTTTAAGCTCTCATAGCTGACAGCTACGTAAAGCAGCAGTGTTGCTAAGTTGTGTTAGCGTATTTAACGAGCGACGTCGTGCAACCCTAGCTTAAGGTCAAACAACACAATTGCCAACAACTAAATATGAACAGTTAGGTTTTATTGCGCATTCGTTTGGTTTTATGACCTTGCCGACATTTGCGTGCATTTGCCAGATTTTTCTTTTTGACCAGGCTTGCCCCTGGCTGCCCTACAATTTCGTTATTCAATTATTGTTGCATTTGGTTCAGTTACATTGCATCTTCCTAACGGCTGTGGGCCTGATTTGCATACGCAAACAAACGATTTGCATACATCTTTTTATTTATTTTGTTTGAACGTTTTTTATTTTCTATATTATTTTTGTACTTTTTAGGAAGCGCATGAGATGCACTACAAATATTTATCTATCGGCTCTGGCAATTACGGATATTGCGTACCTGACCTTTGTATTAATTTTATCATTCAAACACTACGAATACATTAAATATCATTGCGAGCTGTATTGGCGACTATATGGCTTTATAATGTGGCTATGCGATGCATGTGGTAAGTACAAAATAAAAAAATATCCTTTATGTTGGGAGGAACCACGGGAAAGTTAGAATATGATACAGGAATTGGTGAGATATTGCTGAACTAGATAGCACAAGATTATTTACGAGCGCGAAGGAGTAAAGAAAATATTAGGAACTATATAAAGTTGAAAAGTAAACTTATGAACACTTTTATATATAAGCGATAATGGAAAGGGTTCTCTAATTTACTTTACATTCACAAATATTGGTTAGGTTAAGTTATTGGGGTATGGTTTAATACGGAACTATGTGATATTATGGCACTGTAATATAAATCCGGTCGGAATAATGATACGATATGGTATGTTTTGATGTCAGACGACATTTGAAATAAATCCGATAATATTGATTGAAATCATTCAGTTATAAGTTAATGATATTTTAATTAATTTAAAGTTAACCAAAAAAATTATACAAATTTTTTCTGACTCCGTGATATAAAATGCAAGGTTGGTAAAAAAGGAATGTTAAAAGGAAGAATCTCTTGGATTGAAATCGATTGAAAAGCACACTAAAGACGGGACAAGCAATTAGACAAAATTGAGCTATTGACAAAAGCCAGTAGAAAATAATGTAGAAAATAAAGCAAAGAAGACGAATCAAGAACAGAAAATAAGTAGGAAAAGGTATATAAATAAGAATAGTCTAGAGCAGGAACCGATATTAAAGCAAGTGCAATTCTCGTTAATCAAACAGAGTTTTTTTCGGTAAAAATATGGATACATTTTGTCCAAAGCCAATACTAGCTTATGGAATTAACTGGTACATTTGTAGCTTTTTACTTAACTGACAGACCATTTAATTTATTCTGGCACGAGTTGCAAAAGGAGTTTGGGCTAAAGTGGCCTGGGAGGGAGGTGTGGGGCATTATTAATAGCTCGATTGTACGCGTTCATGTTCAACAACAGTATACTGATATTGGCTTGTTCGAACTGGTTCAATTTCACACACACACACACACACACACACACACACACACACACACACACAGCGTACATCTCAATTTACATAGCCGTGTGCTTCACCATCGAGCGATTTATAGCTATACGCTATCCGCTCAAAAGACAAACATTCTGCACTGAGTCGCTGGCCAAGAAGGTAATAGCAGGTGAGTGGCCATTCGATGGATGTGATGCTGCCCCCACCCTGGACAAGCATTGAGCCAGCCTTTGTATTGTTTTGACAGCCGTCGCGCTCTTCTGCCTGTTGACCACGCTCTCGACGGCGTTCGAGCACACATATGACATCAATTGGAAATTGATTGATGGCGCCTATAGGCCCTGCAATCTGACGCTGGCAAATGTGTCGCCCACACCGGCCCAGCCCACCCAGGCGACCGCATGGCATGTAGATGAGCATGCGAACAATGCTGCCACGCCTCGCTATCTGGATCCCTTCGATTTAAGCAGCGGCAGCGGCAGCGGCGCCGGCGAGTCAGGTGAGTAAAGTTACCTGAAATCCTGCTTGTCCTTTAAATACTTTCATTAAGTAAGTTTTTTTCTATATCTCCCTCTCTCTCCTTCTCGTTCTATCTCTCACTGTCCCTTTGAAAGACCACATTCCAAGCAGACAGCACCGGTTACCAGCATCCACGTCCGCCTCGGTGGGCGTGACAGCCGCAGCCACCGAACCGGCAACGGCGGCGGCCACTGCTAGCTTGCTGCAGTTGTCACGTGCCAGACGCAGCGAGGACAACTTCGACAACGAGGCCAGCTCTAACAACAATTACAACTACAACAATAATAGCGCATTCGCATTTAACATAACGGAATACTGTCAAAATGTAAGCGAACAAAGAAAAACAAGTAAGAGTGCACTACTCGGCAGTATCTGACGGTGAAATACCCTGTGCTCAGCACCAAGCTGCAGTCACAAATACAACAAGTTATTTACTTACATACACGCACACAAGCACACGTGTGCACTTAACGCAAAGCTTTATCTTCCCTCAGGCCCACACTATGGGAAAGGCGTCCTTCAATATCTTCGGTGTTCGTTGTCCGATTTTTATAAAATTCGGAGGGCATAAATATGGTTTTTGAATGTGCGTAAATACTAAAGTTCAAAGCTTTACCTCCAAAATGGAGTTATTTTTACAATTTCGATGGAACGGGGGAGGGATTTATTAAGTATGTTATTCTATAGCATCTGGATATGTGAGTGCATACCAAATTTGGTATCTCTAGCTCTTAACATTTCGGAGATTCGTTTGAAAGTTCATATTTCAAAATGGATATTTTATAATATTATGAAAATAGGAGAAAGAAACTCTTATGAACTTGATCTGCCTATGAAGTATAGAGGTTATTAATTTCTATAGCTCTCAGATAGACCTTGACCGTTTGATCCAAAATGCGTTTTAGGTCGGAAGGTCGGATTTTAAATGATTTATTGGGTTATGTCATAGTCGTAGTCAATAATTTCGACTAATATTCTTGCTGACTACGAGGGGGGTTCGATCGCTAAGTATCGTGCTTAGAGTGCCGCGACTAATTCCACCTAATATAACATTAAGAGCATTTAGGAATCTGATTATTTTTACAAACTTGTTCGCATTTAGATGACTGTCTATACAAATGGGCTATCGAGTCTGGGCCAAAATGCGCTGTACTTTAATATCTGGAGTGTGTACACTTTAATTGTATTTGTGGTGCTGCCGCTCTTTGTACTGGCCACCTTCAACTGCTTTCTCATTCTGCTTGTGCACCGCTCAAAGAGCCTTCGTGGGGATCTAACCAACGCCAGCAGCATCAGGCGTACCAAGGTAACACGGAGCCGCCCACTTAAGAACTAATCCTGCTCATAACAGTTAATACCACTGAACGCATTTCCCTTTTTTTAGCGTAAGTCCAACTCCGGTCTAACGGGCAGCGTATCGCAGGAGAATCGGGTGACCATCACGCTGATTGCGGTGGTGCTCCTTTTCATTGTGTGCCAGCTGCCTTGGGCCATCTATTTGATACTGGTGCAGTATGTGGAAATTGAAATGAACATACAAAGGATTGCCGGAAACGTGTGCAATCTTCTGGTTGCCATCAATGCGGCTGCTAATTTTTTCTTATATTGTGTCCTCTCCGACAAGTATCGGAAGACGGTGCGTGAGCTAATCACGGGCTATCGGTATCGCCATCGGCACGCCCGCAACAACATCAGTCTCTATGCGCCACACACGACGACTACGCTCAATGGGGATGGAGCCGGCGGCGGTGGTGCGAGCGGCTATGGTAGTAGCTACAGCGGTGCAAGCAGTCGACGTTGTCGTGGTAAATCGGCGGTCGCGAGGCGTTTAATTGCGTGAGTCACGGGTTAAGTGCGGTTCCTGATCATCGATAACTATTATTACATTTTTTTTTTGTCTTATAGCTAAATCATGTCTCATTTTTACAATTTGAAAGCTGTACAATCCTAAAAACTCCGTGTTAGACTAAGCTGAGCAGTGCATACATATTTTAACTTTTTACTATTTACGACCATACATTTGTGCCATAATGTGATGATTATAGTTTGTATGATATGTAGTTATCCTAATCGTAATTGTTGTTGTCCTAAGCGTCATAAATGTGTACTCTTGATAAATACAATTGAGATCACTTTCACTAGTTCATTAAACAAATGAATGTTTCCACTAAACAATTTATTTCTTACATTTAAATTGAGTTAAATTGGGCTGGGGCAAATTTGCTGTTGAACTCAAGTGAACGATGATGCAATGCTCTTATTTTAGCTGCATAAGCTGTCAGAATTGAAATTTAATATATTTTTACTGCACATCTTTGTCCAGGCATAGTTTTAATGTTTAAAGTTCTGACATCCCAGCATTTCATCCGTTTCTCAACATGGGGAAAGCCAGAATACAACGTCTAAAATGATATTCTACAAAGAATTTTGGTAATAATTTAAAAGTGGATAGGCCGAAACAGAAAGGCTGGCAATTTCCACAAATTTGTCGCCAGTAGTGTATGTGTTACACATTTTATGACACAATTATGATACTCCTCAAAAGGGTGTACAAATTAAGCATGCGTGCCGCAGTCTTAGATCTACGATGAGGTCCAGATGCCTGTGCTGCTGCTGAAGCTTTAAAATAAAGCTCTTTGTTCTCTAAATGCTTTGAAAATAAGAATCAAAATTAATTAAACTAATCCTTAATGACTTAAAAAGCAATTTTAAACATAATAAATTAAAGGAAAATTTTAAAACAATTCTTAATAAAATAAAACCTATATCACATATAAATAACTTAAAGAAAACTAGTTAGATAAATTTGAAATAATTGTGTAATAAAATAAATTAAAATCAGTTATGACTGACTGACTGACTGACTGATTGACTGACTGATTGGTGCTCGACGGCCCATACCGTAAGAGCCAGGAAACTGAAATTTTCACTATAGTTACCTTATGTGATCAATGTGCACGTTAAGACGGGGTTTCGGGAAATTCCACCTGCATGTGTGGAAAAATCGTGAATCCGATCGGCCTCTAACACATTTTTAAAAATCTTTGTGAAAATTCATTTGAGACTTGTTTGAGACTTTTCGCAGAATCCAAGCTTCCCCAGTGAAAAATTCAATTCAATGATTTTTTGGGCTAAGTATTATGTTTTGTTTGATTTGCATCAAACTTATTTTCAGAGCTCTACATAAGAACTTAATGAATACGTGTTACAATTTTTAGCACAAAAAGTTTCACCGGCAAGGTCGGGCAATACTCCCTAGTTACTATATATATATATTTTTAAGCTATTATTATTACTATTAAGATCTATAATCGCATCCGTTTACAAAATGGCGGGGAGTTAGGTTATTCGTATTACAAGAAGTTTATACATTGGCAAAATTAAATTTCAGTTAACTTGATAAAGTAAATGCGAAACATTTGTACGCATTAAAGCCAAAATTTCGATATAGTTCTCAACTGTAATTGCAGTTGAATATTTACGGAATGCGCTTAAGAGTATAAAATGGGCATTAGGTTAAAAATTGAAGCGATTGAGATTTGCTGCAAAGTTGTGGTAGCTTTACAATGGGCGAGCAGTCAAAACTTATGCTCAATGGGGTAGCCCTGATAGGACCCCGTCATGCTACACCAAATATACTCGCCGAGAACATGCACACACACATACGCACTCACACAGTCACACAGTCACACACACACATACATGCAGACTGTTACAAACGTAATGGAGTAACAAACATTTGCGGTTTACTGCATTTGTTCCTATGCGTTTGTGTTGCTGTTGGTGTATATGTGTGCGTGTGTGTTTGCACACAAAAAATTGTGCACACACACAATACACACACGCACACATACTTTGTAAATACACTTGCAGTGATGAGCCAAAAACGAAAAAAAATAAAAAAAAGAAGCCAAATACAACAATTGCTCCTAGCATGTGTGTTGTGTGTGCGTGTGTGCATTAAGAGTGTCAGTTGCCTAGCCGGCTTTTCCACCCATTTTGCACCACACTTTACCATATAGTGAGCCCTTTTCTCTGCTCGTGTTCATGAAAAATTACAAGTCAGCGTCACAATTGAAATATTTCCGCCCCAACGAACAGAAATGCGCAATCGAAAATAGTTATCTTGCCATTGGAATTTGCCAGAAATATGCAACTGGCGGGACGACTGGTCGCAGTCGGATATGGCAACGACATCGGAGCAGCCAGCGCGTCGGACAGACGACATTTGCCGGCGTCACCCATATTGTGGGCATATGCGGATTATGGTCTGTGTGTGCACGTGTGTGTGTGTTTGTGTTTGTGTGTGTGTGTGTGTGTGTGCCGCAAAAACCTCGCCTACCCATTTTCAAGCTGCTTTGGCTGGTCCGAAATTTCCATATTTGATTGTTTTTGAGCGCCTGCAACAACAGCAGCAACAACAAAAGCAACAAAAGCAACAGCTACAACAGCAAAGAGTGGGAATCGGAATCGGAATCGCAGATAGGAAGGCAACGGCTCGGCGTCTGTTTATTGAAAATGGCAAGTATATGAATCGCTGGCCAGTCGATTGGTGAATGCAATGTGGCATACATTCAGGCGATGACCAAAATCATACAAATATTCACAACAATTGAGACTTTTTGATGCGCTGCAAAGACTACGAAAACTTAAAAGAATTTTGTAAATCGTACCAAATGATCCCATTTCTATAGTAAACGAAACAAATTTTTTAGAGTCTTTGTGGTATATATCGTAGTATGTGGTATGCATTGCCAGCCTAATTTTATAAATCGCATATTATTGTAATAAGCTGTATATAGCTTATGGACATATCGATGGCCATATTTTCAACTTTTGATGTAACAACTTTAAAAAATCGCAAGGGTGACTTGAAGTTCCATTTATTTTTGTTACAGAGTTGCAACAATTGCCACCAACGAAAAATTGATAGCATGTAAATTTACAAATATCAGGTAGATAGAATATAATCATATAAACAATACTGTGAAGAATTTAAGATACCCCAGTGTAACTCCTTTTATTTACATAAATATAGGTTTCATATGATAATTAATTGATTGGATCTTCTACACGCACAACAGAAAGGCATACTCATTTCTTTACTTTTTGCAAACCAACGAAGCTTCTTCACGTACTTCTTGTGAATTTCAAATAAGTTCTAACTAATTGAGTTTTGGTGTATGTTTAGTGCAATCTGCAGTTCAATCATTTTAATGTTTTATTTTGGGGCCTATGCTATCTCTAGTACAACAGTTTCTACTATAAATGCAAATAGAAATTCTGTTATATGGTCAGTTATCTTTTCAGCTACAACCAATCTTATATCTCGAGCTGTGGTGTCAATTAATTTGACAGACATCAATTTGGTAACATGTTCGGTTACATTCTCAGTTATCTTATCAATTACCACAATAACTAATTCGTCAGCTACGTATTTTGTAAGCAAGTCACTTAAATGTTCTACTTCAGCTTCAGTCATATGTTCTTCAGTGAGGGGCCTTAAAGTATAACTATAACTTTCATCGCTTTCAACTCAATCCTCATTATTATCCGATATATATTTTCCTTTGCGCATAGTTTCAATCAAGTTTTCCTTTCGCAATCAACTATCTCACTTTGATTATCAATGGCATGTAGAGTGTGTTCTCTAGATTCTTTGGGCTTGTCAAGCTCATATTAAATTCCAGTAGATAGAATGCGACTGATATCTCTTGGTAGAGTTCCAGTGAAACTTCCATTGTATTAATGTTTTTTTCAACCAATGCGACGGCCTTAGCTATCCTTACTTTCAAATGAGCGTTTTCACAATTTCAATTTCCCGACAGAAAAAACTAGAATCGACTGTTTTCTGTTACTGAAGTATTAAACACGAGCAACCGTCGATGTCTGCTATAAGCTATATATACTATAAACGTGTAAACACCTAGAGAAACTGTCAGAAGGTATAGTCAATAAACGTCATTATTCTGTTTGATGTTATTTATATTGCAATTGTTTGAAGAGTTGAATTTCTTACCATTAATGAATGCTTGTGGCGAAACCAAATAAATAGCTTCCACAAGTAATAAAACCATTCGTTTGTAGAGTATTTGCATTGCATTTCACACACACATCCTTACATACATAAACACACAGTAAATGCGAAACAAAATCCAAGCTGACTAAAAAACTGAAGTACATATGAAAAAGCGAATACGAATAATGCCCTCCAAATACAGCTACAATAAAATGATAATTGAGCGAATAGCAGATACCTTGTAAAATCAGAATATCTGTGTTCATACTATTGCTTGGGCGAAAAAACATGGATTAGCACCTCCAGGCGGGCTTAAAGTCTGATATTGAGCGATATATAAAATATATTTTAAAGTCTTGCCTCAGTTTGTGTGTAATAATGAGTGTAATGACACTCTCTTTATTATTAATTTAAAAGGGTGTTTGTTGAAAAAAGAAACTGTAAAGTATTAACGCAAAATTCATGTAGCTGTCAAAAAGTTGCTATAACAATAACTTTTTCATATGCAAAGCTGTCGCTGATATGTCTTATGAAAAGAGACAGCGATACGGGCATAATAGCACTAAGAGTGACAGAGTTCAATTCCCCTGATAAGTGATGGCAATATTAATGCAAAACGAGTCGGCCTATTCCCCGAACTCTGAAAATTGTCCATGAACTGCAATAATAATTTAATAATTTAAAATTTCTCACTCTTAAGGCAGAGAAGCGTCTGGAATGTATTTGTTTTGAAGCCATTTATTCCTTACTGAAAAATGTAACCATTCCTTATGGATTCTGTTCTGCCCCAAGTTATCGCCTATCTATCGCTTTCTTAACATCCGGCGTGCAGCAAAGAGAAAAGTCCTTCGACGAAACGAATAACTTCATGGAAGCCAAAAACCCAATATCAATACTCAACTTGCGTCCAGTTATCGTTAAGCTATCTGCCTGGCGATATAAGCCCACATCAAAATGTTGAATTGAATATCTGGTTATTTTGTAACAATATTTATTACAATTATTTCGGTTCTTGATACCTATAAATATTATTATAATAATCTATTTTAATTGTTGGAGTGCATTCGAACAATTTCAATATTTCATGAGAATTTTATGCATATTAAAACACGACTAACATGCTTTTTTACTATCTCAATTGTTCTTGCAGTTGTGTTGGTATTGTTATTGATTGTCGCTCCACGCCTCCTGCAGGCATATTCTATTTATTTATTTATGTAAAGCGATTTGTTTGGTTCGGTTTCATTTTTATGGTGCAGGTTGAAATGTTTTGACCAACAAAGCCATAAAATGTGCATGGCAAATTTTACAATAGAGCCTCGTAAAATTTTACGTAAATTGCCAAAGCGTCAAATGTGCTGCTAAATAAAAATGTGGGCGACAAAGTAAAGAATGGGCGGTGACAGCGGGTAGCTAACGGAGGGTGGTTGGGCGGTTGCAAACAGTTTGCGGTTGAAGGCAGTTAGCCAAATAAATGTACAGCTAGATAAACAAGCCGTTGAAACGGCTTCTAGTTGTAGTTGAACACACACACACACACACATGCACTGGGCAAATAATGTGCGGCTCGGCCTAAAAGTAGGCAACAAAAACGCACGCAACTTCTAACCGCAATCCCTTTGGCCTCCCTTTTATCAACAGCTGCGTGTTTGCTTTTCATTTTATAGTATAAGCTTGCTTGTGTGAATGTTTGTGTGTTGTTATACACTTGCATGAGGATATGGTAATTTTATCACAAAATTTGTGACGCATTATCGAAGGCAGCTACGACGCCAGCAAAACGTAAAATGTAAAGTAAAATATGAGATGGGATGTCAAAAGAAAGCAATGAAAGTGTATGTTAGGCTAGGCTAGGTAAGGTAAGCTTAGATTAGATAGGGTTAAGATAGGTTCGGATCGTTTGGTAAAGGTTCAGTTGGGTAAGGATCGGCTGGCTTAGATCAGAGCGACTCTTGATATGATCGACACACTTTGTGACCTTTATGATGCCGTGAATCCAGTTAAAAGACCTACAACTTACTGAAGATTGCAGTTGTTGCAGAAGTAGTGTTAAAAATATTCCGAGCACAGTGACGTGTGTATAATATACGGATATTATTATGTACTTTGTTAGGGTATTCAATATTTAGCATCTTAAGCTAAAAATTCCTTGTCTTATAGTTGTGTGCGTTTTTGGGCCAATTTTCTTTGCTTACGCTTTTGCATTTTCATTTTGTTTCATTAATTTGTGCACTGCAGCCTCAGCCCATAAATATGCTACAAATTCGTTTATTTGTAAATATATACAATGTACGTATATAAGTATATATGTATATAAATATTTATATATACATAGGTTGACATAAAATATTTTTAATTAACAATTTGCTGTGTTTTAGCAGACCTTATTTAATCACACAACCACAGGCATGCACACACACACACACACACATGCATCTATACATGTCTCGATTTGTATGTATTGCCTATGTATGATGACTGTATCTATGTGTGCGTTTATTTTTAAGTGCGATGCCTGTTTTCTTATATTTGTGGCGAAAATTTGCTTAATTAAAAATAACAAGCTGGTACAGAAAAGCAAAATACAACAATAACAAAAGCAAAGCCCAAAAGCAGCAACAACCACAACAACAACAACAGCAACAACAACATCAACAACAACGGCAACCGCAGAGCTACAAGCAAAACTTTGTTTAATGGTTAGTTAAGCGTTTAATTTGCACAGGGTCTTCCCTCTTTTTTCAGAGCCGAGGGAATAAAGCAGGACCTGGCCAAAAGCTTTGTTTATGTGTGGGTTGATTGGCCTATTGTCTGTGCATTCAGTGTCGACGAGTTTTTAAAAGCAAACATAAGCCTCACATGTGAGTGGCAGGGGAGCTGAGTAGCTGCTTTGTGAGTTTAACTTTTTTATTTATTTTTCCCTGCTTTTTCAGCTTTCCCTTAGAACTGATCCCCGTAGCTTTTGGCAGCGGCTTAAGTTTTCTTTTAATGTAATTTGTTTGGCTTGGAAATTGGTCTATTGGCATGATTCATCGATTTAAACATATGAAGCAGCATTCCATGGGCCAAAATCTTCTAGTAGCTTGTACTTATCTGGTGATCCCTAAAGCTATTAATAAGCCACGTTTGCTTTTAAATAAGCAACCAAATTTGACAAGAGTGACAAGTGATTTTAGTGACCTTTTTGGTATAAATACTAATATTAATAGCAGGCAGGCTCGATGTCGTTGTTTTTCCAAAATATGAGCAGACTGTCTGCCTCGCTATTTTCTATCAAACGCCTTGTCCCCTTTTCGCAGCTTTAACTTGTGGAGAATTGCAAGCGTCAATCAATGAAAATATACTATATTAGTAAAACGCTCTCTTTCAAATGAATTTAAGCTGAATATTAATATTGGGAGTATAGAAACAGAGATAGAGACACAGTTAAAGCCAGATAGAGGAAGAGAGAGAGAGGCTAGGCATAGAAATTTAAACAGAATCCTGCTCACAACTAAGTTTTGGGTTATACTTTCTCTTTTTCTCTGTTTTAAGCAAATGTTGATCTACTTTTCATGACGAACAAATAATTTAATATACTTTCTTTATCAATAGTATGTATAAATTATATTTCACTTGTTATTTTCAATATGGTAGGGCTATATATCATCTATATTTGTGAAATCACAATCTGTTCGTGATTATTTTGTCTTTTGGTTATATAAATTCACTTTATAAGTCAACTTAAGGTTTGGCTTACGATCCGCAGTTTGCACACAACTTCACAGCTTATACCCAGGTTTGGATTCAAGCTCCTCCAATTTTGTTCGATTTGCTTCAGGCTTGTCTCCGGCTTAACTTAATTCAACTAATCCAGTTTCAGGATCAAATCAGGAAACAGTCCTGTTCAGCATCCGTTGGAAAGTAAGAATAGCTGCCTCGGGTTGATCGGTCGGCAATCGGACGAAAGCTTGACTCGCAGCTAGCCAATTGACATGTCAAAAGTTTCGATTATCAGATGTTGCTGTTGGTGCTGCCAAATGGAAAATGGTGTTGGGCCAAGAGAATAATCGGTTTAAAATTGGCGCACACTAAAATAATTTCAGTGTCAATTTTATTTAAAATGTCAAAAGCTGTTGTTGCTGGAAACTTTCGCCGCCGGCGGCAAGCGTTAGGCTAATGCCAATTAGATGGCAATGTACGCTGGCCTGGGTTGGGCTGAGTGTCGAGGAGGCACGGGGCGGCGACAGGGCTGCAGAGTTTTTGCTTTGGCTTGGGCGGGATGCGACCGCAAAAACATTTGCCGATTAGGCACGCTTGATTATGCGATTCCCTTTAATCTTTGCGAGCAGACAAATTTCAAAATATTCCGATTGTCGGAAGAAATAAAAAAAAAAAAATGTTAGGGCAAAATAATAACAAAGAAAACCTAAAACGAGAATGATTGACAGCCCGTAAACAGTGGGTGAATACTCAGGACAATAATATGCACTTTAAGTAAGTTTTTGCGTTAAGTCATTATTCAATTAAAATTCACAACGACAAAGCGACGTGATAGCTGGGGGCGGGGTGGGTATTCGGGCCTGTCCTTGTGCTTTGCACAATTTCAGCTTTTTGCTTATAATACTTATAATAAAATGTGCCGCAGGTTCCAAAAATGTTATTGGCTGACAAAAGAAGGCGCCACAATATGCTGCTGTTTATGTCGAAGATGATAATGATGATGATAATGATGAGGACGCTAAGGCTGTTAAGTGGTAGCAGCAGAGGCTGCCCGGAACAGTAAATGTCTCCGACTGACAGCTAACAACGTTAGCAACAAGCTGCGGCCAGCTGGAGTTTTTGGCTCTGTCAAGTCTCGACTGTCAAGCGGCGACATTCCGGTAGCGTTTACACTGCAAAAGATTCTGCTGAAATCCCCTTCCGCCAGGCCTTGTTGTTGTTATTTGCAAGTTTTATAGGCTGGCAGTGGCACAAATTTAACTTTTTAATTAAAGCCATGCAATTGTTTTGGTTGCCGTTGCCGCCCCAGACATGCGCCAGACAAAAGAAGCCGCACAATGCAGTCCAAGTAAAAAGACAGCAGCCGCAGCAGCAGCAACAACAAAAGCAACAGCCAGTGGGGCGGAGGGAGGGGCGGAGATGCCAGCGCAACAGGCAAACTTGACACAAAAAGGGGAAACAGACAAAAAAGTACATTCAAAAGGCGACGACGACGGCACAGAAAAACAACTAAGTGTACTCTAGTTGGGGGTGATCGACTAGGATATACCCTGATTTGCTGTTGCAAATATATTTCCTGTACATACATATACAACAACAGACGCCACAAACACGCACGCACCCCTCTCTCTACCCCACTTTATGTGTGGGAAATGCATTTTTGATTAACTTCGTTGCTTATAGTCCGATTCTTCTGCGCCAGAATATGACACGCTACACCCATCTACACATCTATCCAGCTCTTACAATCTTTAATTACCGCTTAAAAAGCCAAGTCGCAGAGTCTGTATTTAACGATAATATAATAATGGTCGGAGATATCGAAGAAACAAATATATAATATGTCTTCTAAGATAGTTCCCTCTGCCTGTTACATAGATTTGCTCGACCCATTACTCGCTTTTTAACTAATTTCAGTGGGTTCGGGGTATAAAAGAACCGTGAGAAAGCACTTAATGATCGACTGCGAAATACATTTTTGTTTCTAGTTAAGGTACTCCATTTCCAAGGAATGTAAACTTGGTCGGCGTTTGTTACCATCCGAGCTAAGAAAACTATCTTCCCTTCTATTGAAATTTTAGTCGCTAGACCTACCGGATACTCTTCAGCTACCCGTTGTTTCTACAAATGTTTTTCAAATCATGGTAGACATCGACTGTTTCCAACTGTAAGGAATAAAGAAAACAATTCAGTCTCGTGTTTCCTATCGAGTCAAAAAGTTGTGCGGAAGAGTAAGGAAATATATAAAATATGTCCAGTTCGGGTGCAGAAAAACCTTTGGCGCAATCCACTGCGTTAGGTGAAAAAACAAGTGAAAACGAACGAGAAAACGTAGGTGGAGTTGTAGTAGACGATCTAACAGAATGTAAAAATGCAGCTGACTATGAGGATGTCGTTGATGTTGATGATGATGATGGTGATATAGCTGATGGAATAGCTGAAGATTTTGTTGAATATGTTATGGAATATGTTGGTGACGATCTAATTGAAGGCGTAATTGAAAAACTAACTAATAGAAGAGCTAAAGAAGGAATTGAATTAAGAACTGCGTGTAAAAGTGACGATCATATTAAGGGTATGTTCGTAAATTTAAGTTATGATATAATTAAAAAAATATTGCCTAATATAACAGAATGTAAAACAGATGAACTTATTAAAAATGTGCTCGGAAGTTCGAATGTAGGCATGATTAAAAAGGAACCTGAGCATTTTACTGGAATGCCAGATGATTTGATAACTAAGAATGCAGGTAATGCCGGCGATGATAATGAAGATAAAATTGGGGAAAATAAAACTGAACACTCTGTTATATATTTAATAGAATATATAACAGCGTTTGTAGCTGAAGATATAATTCTTAGCGCAACTGATAAAGTGACGCAATTTGCGACTAGAAACATAACTGAAAGATTAATCAAATGTATTACAGAATATGTAACCGATGATATAATTGAGACGGTAGTTAAAGATACGAGGAGGGCTATCATTGAAAGTAAAACCGAACAGATAACCGACTTTATAATGGGATTCATTTCTGATAATGAAATTTTACATACAATTTTAAATTTAAGCGGTCTCAAAATGATGCGTAAAACGAAAGATTCAAGTGGAGCTCTCACCGGAAGACCAATTGACTATTTGACTGATGAGTTTATTCAAAAATATGCCAAAGGCAAAACCGGAAAAAAATCTCGGGACTTAATTGAGCCCTTAGCTGAACAATTGACCGAAAGCTTAGCTAATAGCATAATCAATGCTATACTTTGCAAACTAAATCGGGACACCGCGGAGCATCTAACTGATTATGTAACCGAATACGTAACCGAAGACCTTCTTGAAGAACTATGTGAAGAGTTCAGTGACGATATATCCAAGTCCTCGGCCCGAACATACACTAAATATTCAAGCGATGATGCAACAGTCAGAAATGATGACAGCGATTCGGAAAGAACGAACTCCAAATCAAGTTCAAGTGCTGCGAGCGATATGTGGAAAAATTTTACAGATGAGGAGTATGGGAACGGTTTGGCAGATTGCTCGGTTAATCAGCGATCATTTTTCACCTTTGTGCATGTCCAAAAGAAACCCAATTATATTGTGAATGTGCCGAAGAGACCGACACTCGAGCAGCTTATACGGGAGATGGTGAATGAGAATCTGGGCGCCAGCATGCGCATTAAGATTGGAGACCGCCATTTCGATTGTATACCCAATTTGCTGAAGGTTAATTCGCCTTGGTTCGCCAATAGGGATTGGCATGAGGAGCATTTCCAATTCAGGGAGGAGGATGTGCCCATATTGGCATTTGAGCTCATCTATAAATGGCTGCGCTTTCAGACGCCAATTTTGCTCAACGATGCCATCAAGGTGCTGCAGGCATCTAGGCATTTGCAGATAGATCTACTGGAGTCCGACTGCTGGGATCTGCTCTCCCAGACGCATGTGCGTGAGAAGATTGCCTTCCGCTTGTTCTTGGAGGCCGAAAAGATGCCAGCTCTGGAGGATGTGCGGGAAATCATGTTGAGCCGTGTACGCGGCTATTTCTTGGCCCTGGTGGGCAGTGAGGATTTTCTTAACTTGAAGCTCGATCAGCTGTTAAGCTTGCTGAAACGCGACTCAATTGGCGTCAACTGTGAGGTTGAGGTGTTCTTTGCGGCTGTTCGTTGGCTAAGCAAATCGAAGAACCGACTGGAACACATGAAGACGGTCATGAGGTGTGTGCGGTTTGCATATATGCCGATGCCAATGTTGTTCAGAATTCGCGCCATGGGCCTTGCGGACGAAACTAAACCGATTGGCAGTACAGAGCGTGTGCTGCAGGAGTTTCAAAGGCATCCGGAAATGACACAAATGCTCTACGATGCCATGACATATATAAGCTTGCACTTTCAAAATGAAATGGAACCGGATCCCATTGATCCGGACGAGGAAATTCAGCAGAAATTGGTTTATCCGCGTCGTTGGATATATCACCCGAAATGCCCCTACCACAAGGCACGCCTCATCTATCCCTACCAGCATAGTCTTACCCAGCAGGAATTCGACAACTACGTTTGCATGATACAAAAAGATTGGATGGGCGAGGAGCCGCCGGCAGACGCAGTGCTCGAAGTGGAATTCGATGGGGTTGTAAAGCTTTCGCCCAAATTAAGCAGCGAAACGATGGCACGCTAAAAGGCATAAGCCTTTGCACAAGCTTAAATGTTACATTATTTTGTTGGATCATCATCATAACAAAAAATATAAAAAATATAAATCGAAACGAAAGAGTATAAATAAGTCAACTAACCCCGATTAGTATAGCACATGTAAGCTCGAATGGAAGTGTTAACAGTTTACAATCGCATTAAAACTGAGATAAGTTTGCATTTTATACGCAAGCCAAAGAGAACAAGGAACAAGCTAATAAGATAATAAGAAAACTACTGTGAAACATTATGCAACTCACTCACTAAAAGCAAAGTGTGAAAGATTGCTTTTTATACCCTTTAACAAGTGAAAGTGAATGACGAAAAGGGTACACAGGTTTTGATGAAGACTTTGTAGCAGACTTCATAAATTGTACACATTCCTTATCAAATTCAAATATCAGCAGATAGCCAAGTTATGTTTATATTTTTATTATTTTTATAATAATTTTCGTATCTTAAATAATAATTCGGTTACTGCCACCTCGCTTGCCAAAAAAGAACTCAATTATGACTGCACGCTGCCTGCCATAATTTATAGCACTATAATTATAGCGCTCTCATTTATTGCACACTAGCACATCTAGTGTGTCAGTTTCTGTGTACGCATGTGTGCAGTCGTGTTCTTCGCTCCGCACAGTCTGTAATTTGCATTTTATCAGTCGTGTGTTTAATCTTTTGTGCTCCGCATTGCCTTTAATTTGCATTTAAATTGTCGGTGTTGAATTCAAAATTAACAAAAGAAAAAAACAAACGTATGCATCTATCTGCATGCTTGTCGGATTTTCTCGCGAGTGCATTCAAGTTCTGTAAGATGAATACGGTTATTATTAATTTGTGCAATTAGTTTTGTGTTTTATGCTTTCTGCTTGGCATTCCAATCGCATTGAGCACTTGTTGTTGCTAAGCCTCTACAAAGTTGTTGTTGTTGTTATTGTCTTTTCCTCTTTGGCAATGCTTATTGCTGTTCTTGTGTGCAGTTGTAATCTATAAATAGATAACAAACTATTGCTCTCCCTCACTCCCAATTGCAGTCTGGGCTTTTATCTGCTCTCTGTTGTTATCTGCTCTAGTGTTGTTGCTTATGCTTTGAAGTTTCCGTTTGTGCTGCACAGTGGCTCAATACCTATTATTGTTTGTCAAAAAAAGAATAAAATACCCTTAACCTTTGTGATAACGTTACGCGGGTCGCCCTTCGGTTGATTAACATGTTAATTCGCATTCGATGATTCTTATCTCGATCATCCACGGCCAATATATTGCAGGTGAGTTCGCATAGATAAGTTTTCCGAGTCGGTTGGCATTTGTACTCAGAAATGAGCTTGCATTTAAGCAAACTGAACAAATAACAAACTATTTTTAAGAGTCATTAGTTTTAAGAACAACCTTATATTAACCTAGGCTAGCTCAAATCTTTGTGTATGGATGGATATAAATTCATTTTCATCTACTTTCCGCCCTTGTTGGTGGATTTAAACAAGTATCGGTGGGACATGCGTTGTACAATTTCTTGTAGAACCTTAAACAAAACTTGAAATTGATTAGCCGCTATTTGAACGGCTACCTATATAACCTTAAGCCAGGTTTTTATTTATGGTGGGTTGGCAAAGTATGTTCCCACTTGTATTTTATACATGTATTTTTTATATATTTGTGAATTAATTTTTAAGTGAAACGGAAAACAAAATTTTACATTTTCTTTGCTGATGTTTATCAAAATATAGGATAATAGCCCGTGCACGGGTGCACAAATCTCTATATATAAAACTGTTTGTCCTGACTGACTGACTGACTGACTGACTGACTGACTGACTGACTGACTGACTGACTGACTGACTGACTGACTGATTGGTGATCAACGCCCAGGCCAAGCCGTACGAGCTAGGAAGCTGAAATTCTTACTGTAGTTACCTTATATAATGAATGTGCACGTGAGGACGGGGTTTCGGGAAATTCCACCCGCATCCGATCGGCCTCTAACTCATTTTCAAAGATCTTTGTGAAAATTCATTTGAGACGTGTTTCACCATATTTCAAAAAATGTATTCCTCCTTGTTGGAAATGGCGGACAAAGATTTGGTGGATGACGTTTCGCGCTCAAATTAATTTCAAGGATCTATATGAAAAATCATTTGAGACGTGTTTCTCATTTTTCGCAAAATCGAAACTGCTTCGGTAGAAATCATTTTGCAAGCTTTTTGAGAACATTATACTATACGTGCCATGGGCAAGGCCGGGCTATACCCGCTAGTGTATACATATATTTATACTCATTTGTTGACTGGTGTCACACAAGGTGTGACACGGCAAATATTACGCATACGCAATGTTGCTTGGCGTAATTGCAGAGTACAACTCGTGTTACCAATTTATTTACCATGGTTACATTGGTGATAAGTCAACAATTTTCAGCAAAAATTGCAGCACAGCTCGAAGCAGCCAATACACAGGGAATCGCTCAGTATGAGCGAGTTATATGGATGGGGCATAGCTTTAGCCAACTAGTTGATGTCTGTCCACTATCAAAGCAGCTGGGTGTGTATGTGTATATGTGTGTGTGTGTGCATGTGTGTGTGTGTGTTCGTGTGTGCACCTTATTGACAGTTGATTTAGACTTTAATTGCACAAAGGGAAATTTGAAATCTGAACACTAATTAAAACAGCTCAATGGGATTATGTCGGTGTGTTTGTGTCCTCAGCTTAGAAACCACCAGCGGCACTCAAGCTGATTTGTCTGCATATTTTGACGTCGTTTATTGTCATTTATCCTTTTTGCTTATATTTTCCACTTTTTACGAAGCTGCTGCAAAATTTTCATTTTCCGGTTTCTGCATCCATTTTTATGCCAACGATAAATGTGGATTTTGAGACGTAGGTTTTCACGCCTTACTCAAAGATTATTAGCGCTATTTAATCCAAGCTTAGTATGTATGTTCTGATGTAGCATCTAAAGAAAAACCCAGAAATTGAAGAAAACTCCCTATTTTTAAAGGTACAGTCCTGTGGAATGAATGTGCACACATTTGGATGCCATATTTTGGTCCCGTTTATGTTACAAAACCACTGAAGCTATTCAAAAATGTATTTTCCAGTGTAGGGTAAAGGGAAGAATAAGCAGAGCCGGAGTAAGTCATTTGATCAAAGGTATCTTCCAGTCGTATTTAGGGTCTGTCTTTGGTATATGCGCACATTTTGATGCTATATTTCCATAAGGATTTGTCACAATACGGATAAAAGAGAGATGATGCACAGCCGCAGCCTCCGTGTTGTGTTCTTTTTTGTTCGCAGTCAGTCGCTCAGTACAGGGTATCTCCTAATCCTGTTTAGAGTCTGTCCCTATGACTGCAAGCAAATATGTATATAGTGTATATCGTGTAACGGACATGTCTTTCTTCAACTTATTGTTAATTAAAGACTTATTTAAATATAACCACATTTGGTATTGGTACAGGTTAAATGGTTGTGCCTTTAAAATTGTCCAATTACACAAGCCTCTTGGCTCACTTTTCGAGTATAATGGGTTTCAGGATTTGGGCCCAATCTTTGCTACAGACATTTTGCGCCAACATTTTCTTACCCATTTCCATTGGATGCAGGGTATAAATAGATTTTCCTGAAAATCGTAATTGAATTTTGGCCCTTATTAATTTACTGTGTGGCTGAATAAAGATGCAAAGTGCAAATTGTGTGAGTCTTTAATTTGTGCCTGGGGCGACGGCCTGGGCTTAGCATCTATCAAATGTAGCTGGACGGGTGTCGTTAATTATATATTTCTATATAAGCACGGACACGCACACACACACACACTTACGTTTATATATTATTTAATGTATGTTTATTAGCGGCACTGAGGCCACTCGATTTATGTTTATTATTATAATTTATTGCGCGCATTATAATTCATTTGGACAGGCGTTGCTCGGCTTGTTTATCCTTTAGTTTTGGCCATTAATTAAGTGCCGCTCGTTGGTTACTAATTAAAATTAAAAGTGCTGCTTAATTGGCAACAACAGCAGCTCTTGAAGCCAATGCCAATTTCCACTCGCCTCCCGCCTCCCGCCGCCCGCCGCCCGCCTCTCCCCGGCGACCGCCTCTTGGCGTTTGTTGTGCATAGACTGCTGGCACGCCCCTCGTCTCAAACTAATTTGCTTGGTTGCCCATTAAGTTCTCAAATGGCAAGCAATTCAAAAGCGTTTTATGCCGCACAAATTAAGCATTTAACTGCAGCAGATTCTCTGTCCATGTCCGTCTAGATGTCCTCGGCTGTTCAGGAGCGGGACGGAGCGCGTCCCTTTCTCAGGACTAGCATTGCATTGTGCGAGTGCAACCAATCAAAATTCCTGTAATAAAATCAAATTTTCATTGCTTTTGTGAGCATTTCCCCCGCCGCCCATGCATTTGCTTTTGGGGTTTTTTTTTTTGAAGGGCGGGCGGTTCGGGTCGGTTGGCTTCGTGGTGCAGTTAGCTGTTTGCCTGTGCTTTGGACCCGGTCTGGTGGCTCTGCATTTTGTTGGTGCTAAATATAACACAAGGGCTGCTGTTTCATCTTTCGTTTGTTTTAACTAACACACACACACCCGCTCACACACAAACACGCCGTTATTTTGTACGCCTCTACTCAAAGAGTTTTTAGCCTTGTGTGTAGAGTTTTCGTTTTTCTTTCCTACATTTTATACCCTGTATCTATTTAAATTCAGTTAGCAGAGCATATTGACTACTTTTGCCTAAGAAAGTTTTTGTTACAGGCGAAAAGATTTATTTTCGTGCTACTATGGTATATTTATTTGTGAATGGCCTTCTATTTCTCTAGCTATTGAAGCAGGTCGATTTCTATTTTGTAAGCTAAGACATTCGTTTATATCTCAAATGTCAATTATAGTTTGTCTTTTAGAGGCTTATACATGCTGGACGTTTGCATAAGAAGGCTATGAACAGGTTTTGAACCGAAAACATAAGAATATTCGATAAATAAGAATCTATAAAAATGTAAAATAAATGTATTTTCTAATCAATAGAATATATCTACACTTGTGAACTGCAACGTGGGCCAATAATAATGGACACGACGGTTCTCAAGCCGAACTTTATGGTAAAGTTGAAAATTGCTGAGGAATTTGAACTGGCGACCTGTCACTTGTTAATAGTCCAAATGCACCTAAATTGTTTTTGAGCTTGAAGCCTGATTATATAAAGAGAGTCGGTGTTAAAAACAGGGTATATCCATGTCGGCGACTGTAAAATACTTCAGCTTGTTGCTACTTTTGCAGAAACAATCGTTTTATTCCATTTTTTTTGAGGGGGGGTTTTTTGTTAACCTTTAAATGAAATTGCTTGTTATCTTTGATTGCCAACGTTTTGACAGCTATTTTGGTAAAGTGGTTCATGTAAAAGTTGTTGATAT